AGCTCGAGGATATAACGATTCCACGGACGGACAAGCAAGAATGTCTGCATAGTAGGTCGTGATGATGAGAACTGAGTCAGCTTGTCCCCTGTAGTGATCAGCAGGTCATGAAGCCCGTCGGCCTCGACTTCATATATCTCCTGGTCTTGAGCGCGACTCCGCTTGACTGCTGTGACACGAAATGCAATGCAATGCAAATGCAGTCTGCAGTTCGCGAAACGAGGCGCGCTCATGTTGTCAAGCAGGGCGTAAATTTTCTGAACCAAATCTACAGCCATGGCATGTCGGGGTGAGGAGATTGTCGTCTGGATGTTATCTTCATACAGAGATGGCAGGGTGTATGACGGAGCTTTGTATGAAGTAATGTCGGCCGGCAGACAGCTATTGAATTCGGATGATTGTCCCACCCAGTCCAGGGCACTGATATCACCCGACTGAGCTACAACCTCCTGCAAGAGCCTCCCAAGAGCCTTTTGCTTCTTCTCGCCATAAATGACAGGCAGATTGACGCCGAAGATACCAAACAACGAGTATGCAATATCTTCCGGCCATGTGGTGACACGGGCTGACACCCATTGAAGTTTCTCCCGGGCGTCTCTCATCCCTGGACGGAAGGTGACGAGGGCCTGTGCATTTATGCCCGTTGCATGTCCCATCTCCTGCATGATTGCAAGGGAATCCTTGTGGTTGAGAGAGCGATCGTCGAGATATAGGGACCAATCCTTCTGATAAAATAGGACAAATTTTGGGGCCAGGAATTCTTGAACTGTCCATCCTCGCGTGTTCCAAATGCTACTTGTGAGTGCCCCAGTCTGTGACGAAGGTGCAGCATCCGACAAGTAGACGACGGTAAGTGCTGAGTGGCGATACTAGATAAACATGGAGTTGACCGATTGTTGGACCTCGACGTTGTTAGTCTGGTCAATGCAACAGGTGTCGGTCCATGTCCAGCGATACCCCATATCATGAGCAGTTTTACAGAATAACTGCAACTTCGCGATGCCGCCGACTGGATTCAAGTCGTATACCACCTTGCCCTGGATATCATGCAGCAACGGCTCCTTCTCTTCCCACCTATGTGATAGCATGACATAACGGAAGTATGTCGCCACGACATCTTTGATGCGCTCCTTTTGGAGATCTATGCCCACCAATGTTGATGACAAAAGCTCCTTGTACTCTGTGCTGGCTTTGAACGCATCAATCTGTGCCACTTGATTGCATAAGCGCCCAGTAAAGGTATTGAGCAAACGATGTGGGGCATCGTCGAGTTGAGCCTTGATGGTCTCTTGAATGGTTCTTTCTGCTTCGGATGGATTGACGTATTGTTGGCGCAGCGCTGGAGAAAGAGTCAAGCATCTTTAAGGGTGTGGTTATTTGGGGGCGTACCCCGTGTTTGTGCGTCAGGAGCATTTTCAAACTTCAAGAGCATGGTGTGAAATGCATCAATCACTTCATCATAGCGTTGTGCGCCATGAAGTGCTGCATGTTCTAACTGGTATCCGACATAGGACAAAGGGGTCAGTTTGATGACCTATATATTCGCAAAATGAGCATGGACTACGAAATAATAAATGGCATCAAACCATTTTCGCATCTAGAATCGCATCGTCCCATAGCATTTTTCCCGACCTCGCCTTGCTGCGGTTCGCAAAGATGGCTTTTGTTGCCAAATCGAGGTCGATCGCTGCAGAGTATAACTCGATAGCCCGGTCGTAATTACCCGCAGCGAGGGCATCATCCCCCTTTGCAGCTAGATCAGCAACCCCAGTGGCAGCATGAAGCGCGCTGTAATCCTGCTTGAATGCTGAGCGAAATACAGGTGAGCATTGTAGCCAGTTGATATCACGAAGACTTGCCAGTGGACCAGTCAAGGCAGCTTCCCTTCGCAGCGTCATCACATCCATCCACTATTTGTCTGTAAGATCTGAGGGCCTCTGCAAGTCTACCTTCCCGAAAGAGCGAACGGCACCAATGCTGGTGTACAGTAAGCCACAAGGACTTGAGGTCCCACCCAAATAGCTGCGCAAGCACTCAATTGGACATAGAATAAAAATATAGCATCACAATAAATGCACAACCACAAATATATCATATTTAGAATGGATGGTTGACATAGGCAAGAGACCGATAGTGTTGACAGCGGCAGTGAAGTGGCCAGCTGCTTCGTTGTGACGTGCGTCATCTAACGCATTCATTCCCACTTGGACGTGTAGATAAGCCTAAAGTGCAATGTTCGTAAAATCAGTATCGACGCATGAATCTGGAGTTGATTGTGTCATGAGCACTCACTTCTACGATACCACAGGCAAGAGTATTTGCATTTGGACATACGGTAGCTAGCTCTTGGACACGCAGAATTGCCTCGTCATGTTGACCTGCATTAAAAAGGGCGATCGCCTGACAGCTGTTGTGTAAGTAGCGATTACATGAGGCACAATTGACATACCTTTATCAAGAGTAGAAGACAAGTTTTATTCAAGTCTGCGTCTACGAATATGAACGCGAGGTCAAATGCTTTCATCGCATCCCGGAACTGCCTTTTACCGCAGAGGGCGATGCCCTTGGAGATACAGCCCATCATGGATGGCTGGATGCTGATGCTCTATATCGCCATACAAATTAGGCTGTGTTAAAACGGTCACGAGGGGGCAGTCTATCCCACCTTGAGGGCGTCATCAAGTGCGCAGTCCCAGTCGGCTTTTCTTGCCATAACAAACGAACGATTCGCGTAGGAGCTGTAGCTGTTGCTATCCGCACTGATCTCTTGAGTGAGCAGCCTTACAGCAGTAGGCAAGTCCCCAGTTATGCATCCATCGCGGGTTGTCGTGTTGATAGCGAGGATCTGCATTACGCATGGTCAGATTGTGTGGTAAAAATGAAGGCCAGAAACGAGCCTCGCAATTAGACTGTTGAGCCTTGGAATCAAGATTGAGGATCAATATGGAAGAAGACGAACCAACTGTCGATAAACAGGAACTCACATTATTTACCACGTCTTCCTTCAAAGTGTCTTCCTGTGACGCATCCTTGGATAAGATGGGCATCAGGAAATCATGAGTTTACTTAATCCTTACTTATTTCGAACTTTTCCCACTTATTTCAAATGGATCTACTTATTATTCTTAAATCACCGCCTGGTCCCAACTGAACTATCAGGATCTGTTAGCAATCATCATAAATGTGTGCTATTAAATTATTGGACTCTCAATTTGCAAGATGGTACCTCAAGAGAACGTTTAAGAAAGAAAATCATCAGCATTAATATGTCACTCAAGCTCCATACTAGTCACTAATTGTTAGTCTTATGCAATGAAAGATGTCTCTCAGGCCCAACAAACATATTGGAATACTCAATTTTGAAGCAGTTGTCAAATTTCAGAAAAAAAGTAGGTTGATTGTAAATAAGCGGGAAAAGGTCGAAATAAGTAAGGATTAAGTAAACTCACGATTTCCTGATGCTGAGATGAAGAAAGACGGAAAATAAACAGATTCTTACATCTAATGTCTGGTCCTCGGGAATGTCCTCCAGTAAAGGTACTGCCCACTTCGAGATCATTTTATCACCTCCCCCACTCAAGATGTGCTTGAATATGGCGATGGTTCACCAATCCGAAAGCCGCCAAAGCCGAACCTGTTGGTCTGCAGATGCAGACGCGAGAAGGGTGCCAGTAGGGTTCAAGGCAACCATGTAGACAATGTCAGTATGGCCATTCCAGAATTCACTGACCTGCTCCCAGGTCATTGAATCCCAGATCTGTATGGTGTGATCACGAACACTACCAGCTGCCGAGATGAGCTGTTTGCCATCGGGCGTCCACACGAGTGTAAAATTCCATGCTTCATTGAACGCAGAGTGACGCTGGAACTTTGCGATGCATTCCCTCTTGCCTGGGTTCCATATTTGGATATTTATTGAAGTTGTGATGGCAAGGTGTTCACCAGACGGTGAATACTGAATACAGTTGATCTCCGCGCCAGTCCCACAATTGATTGGATCTCCTTGTACCTGCCATGTTTTTGTGTTCCAGAGCTCCACTGTAGTGTCCAGTGAGCCACTCGCTAGCAATGTGCTATCTGGGGAAAAATCAAGCCACCACATCTCCTTGGAGTGGACTTTGATGGGTTTTGTGAGAGATTTGCTATCTCTGCTCCAGGCGATGAGCTCTCCACCATCATCACCGCTTGCGATGAATTGCCCGTTTCTCGATATTGCAGCTCTTCGTATACCGAAGTGATGCCCCTCCATTATCTTCAATACCTCACCATCTTCTAGGTCCCACACACGAAGCGTCTTGTCGCACGAGGCTGTCACCATATGGCGTCTATCGGGAAATACTGCTGCTAAGATACCATCTTCATGACCTTCAAATGTTCGACTGGGCGTGGCAATTCGAATAGCGGGGTGTTCTGCTTCCGTCATCCTGCTCGAAGTGGATGGTATTGAGCCCAACTTGCTGGAAGTGTCTTGATCTAAGTTTCAGAGGTGCGTGTACTGGACCTTTTTGTACTTCTTCACAGCCTCAACCTGTTTCGTGTATCATTAGACGCCCAGGACATGAGGCCTGACGCCTATAATTATGTAATCTGCAACCTATAAGTCCAGGACCAGCTTCGCTCTCTTCATCTAGCTAGTCCACTGTGTCCATTCGATTCCACCGATTACTCCACCGAATCCGTCCTGGATGTACGGTTGGAGAATAGATACCACTCTTCCCAGAAAAGACTGCATCTGCAAAACCACTGAAATGAATGCTTAGCTTAAGCGCTTTACGGACACTTACGAACGCTTACGACTTCAGTAGCGCACTCATGCGATTGGTGGAGATGCTTTTACAGTTGTTATTTTATTTCTTTGGTATCATTTTATTTCGCTATTCTAAACTTACGAGAGATGGAGAATCGAACATTTTGATTACATGTAATCTCTCGCATTCCGCTGAAGATAGATAAAGCAGGAAACATAATGCAGGTGAGCTGCAAGCTAACAAAAAATGTAACTAGTGCAAGTCTGAGCGCAAGGTATGATACACTTCCTTGTCCGAGAAATTATTCAAGTAAAAGCGCTCGTACACCTCCATGCTAGTTTCTGCACCCACTCTACAGTTAGTTCCTTTGCCATACACAGGGATAAGTTCTACTGCATGTGTAACATCTGTTAGAGGGATAACCGCGCCCAATCTCATCCTCTGACCACCAGGCCCATCGTGATATTTTTGGGCTACCATATACATGCTGGCAGCAGGCTGATCACGTGGATGACCGATGACCTCATAATATTGTACATAAATCAGTGGTTGATCTGCAAGGTAGTGGGGAAGTGTGGCATGATGAGGTGGAATGGGCTGGAAGATAGCTTGCACTTGCGCAATAAGATTTACTACATAAACTTCAATTAGTGATATATAGTTGCATAAAATAAATCTTACCCATCTGGTTGCCATGTGATGACTGCATGATAACTGCATCACAATTTCCCAGAGGAAATATTTGTGAAGGTGGACTGGCTTGAATGACCTGACTAGGCATAATCAGCTGCGAGCAAAATACGGAATGCAGCTGTAATTGAAACTTGTTCCAAGTCTTAACATGACCATGATCACAGCTCCATGATGTTGCAGGTTGGCCATTAGAGGCCTTTGTGACGTAATCAGATAGTAATCGTCCAAAATCTGGCAATGTATAGAGTTGCTGAACTTCATTGATAGACATCTTGGCTCTATCAGGAGCAATGGTAATGTGGAAGGCAGTTGTCGCAGTGGAAGACAGTATGCCCTTCAGAAAATGGTTTCGAACTGGACAGGGTCTGATGAAACAACGCTGATTGGGATCACCAGGTGTGACATGGGCGATCCATGCGAGGGCAGGGTTGGTTTCGGTGATCTCTTGCTCTTCTGTGACTATAGCATTGGTGAGGGGGGTGTTGTGCATCCGTAGGAAGAGATACAGCTGAAATCATCGCATTGACTCCTCATGGTTGAGAATATCGACAATCTGCTCTGTAAATGTGCATGATTGGCGGGATGTCCTTTCAAATGGAAGCTTGCAATGAGTGATGAGAAGGCGCTCAGTGACATCAGCCATCCATTGAATGAGAGCGCCTATATCCTTTGTGAATGTGGCGAAGCTCTGTAAAAGCTCCAGCTTTGGGATGAGGAAGTGGTCAATTGTTCCTTTCGTGCCTCATCTAGCTCCTGCATCAAGAATTGCTTGCTTATGGTCATGAAACTCTTTGAGAGATGCAACCATGGAATCAATGGAGGTATCTGTATAAACAGGGCTTTGAGCCTTGTAAACAAAGTCAATCAAAGCACGGATCACATGGACAAACTGGGGAGGCGCAACCCCAGCAATGGAAGGCACCAAGGTGCATTGCAAGTCCCGGTGTTCTTGGCTGGTCATTTGTTTCATCTGGCACGCTCCAGATGAAAAATGGCGCGTTCCTACTCGCTTGTGGTGACTTTTGAATCAGGCATCGAGTTCGTCCTTACCCACTAGTTCTTTGCACCACTTGAATGGATGATCAAAAAAGAATTTATGGCAGGTGTGGAGAACTTCTCCTGCTAAGAAGTGAGAAGGATCTGCGAACCGCCAGTTCCACCAAAATGGTTGGTGAACACCACTTAATGAATGAGCCTTTCCTTCCTCCTGGAATTCGCATAGCCTCCATGGATCAATGTGTTGACAGATGTCATATATCACTGAAAGGGTGTGTTCCTTTGTGCGTGGTGTGTGGCGATAGTTGTCACCAAAGGATTGAGAGGTGGCCAACGTAATAGGAGAAGTGACCTTTGAGACACATGCGATTGCTTGCTGTTCTGGCAAATCTGTGGTGTAAGCAGCCAGAGGCGTGAAGCAGTGTTGTACATGGCCAGATGGATCAGGCATAAATTTGCCTGTCATGGCTGCAACCTTGGCATTTGCGAAGATAATATCCATGCACTTATGAAACAGCCGTTGACTTAGAATAGTTTGGTAGTCAGAATGGACGTCGGCGAATTTTGGAATCAGCATGAAGCCAACACATCGCCAAGCATGACTTGTTGCTCTCATCTGTACATCAGACTGAATATTAGCGATTGAGACGAAGATAGGGTGCATTTCAAGCCCTCCAGTGTACCGTGTCACAGGTGTCTTGTCAGATGCAATGACTATTGGAACTATGGTAGTGCCTTTGGGAAGTTGGTCCTGTACCAAAGCATCAGTCAATCACCATAAGTAAGTTGTGGGATTTTACCTGAATCTCGAATGCTTGTCGTGCCATAAAATATTCACTATACTCATGCTCATCACCGTTGACCACAATGTGCGGGTCATATGTCATGTGGTTTGTGAAAATTGGATTGGCGAAGAGATCTTCCACTACTTCTAAGCCATCACACCAGATGAGCTGTACTGGTTGGACAGTTGGATAGCCTGTTATTTCAAGTGTCATTGAACACCATTTTGGTCCAGTGGGAAGAGAACCCATCCATGCAAGCAGCTGGTCTTTTGAGCCAAATGATGGTTTAGCTCGGCGTACCTGTGCACTGAAAGTTAGTCCTATGTGTGGATAGAAGAATTTCACACCAAACAGACCCATTTGAGTTTGAGAAATTGGTCAACATCACTTTGTGTGAGCTGCTCGCAGAGGAATTTGCCAAGTTCAAACTCTGCTTGGTCTTGAAAGGGGTAAAACGGAGTGTTCACTTGCTGGTAAGCAAATTGGTCACTTTCCATGGCCTCGAGGATGTTTGGTGCCTTGCCAAAGATATAGCCAAAAGATGGGTGGTACTGTCCCGAGACATGGTCTTTGCCTGCTTCCAAGGCAGAATGAAGGAATGCAGGTGGAACAGGAATATGACAATTTTCGATTTGAGGCCAGCAACCATCGCCTTGCTGCAGGTGTTCTACTATTGCCTCACTGGAGGGCAGATCGATTAGGCACTGAGGGCATTTTGTGGAAGATGATCTGCCAGTTGATTCAGATGCTCACCACAGTGAGTACATTCAGGACATAAAACTTACAAATTGTTATCAAGAATGAATTGTCCAGATTGTCCTCCCTGAAGGTTGGACAATACAGTGGAATTATTGACCTCCATACCAGCAGTAACAGCTCAGCAAGTATTGACACAGCAAGAAAAACGTCCAAGTCCTTCAAACTCCGCCCTCTGGTTGGCACATACTCCCATCACATTGTAATCTCCCTCTCAGATTAGCTAGGAAATAGTGGTATGTGTCATTCATCTTCATACCAGCCAGGATATTGATGTTACAAGCATCAATATGGATGGTTTCTCTGAGAGGTCCACACCTCCTCTGTCTGACTCTGAGACTATGAGCTCAACTTGTGTCAACCTATCCCCCTCTACACAGTCTAGTTCCACGTTGCTATCCCCTCCTAGATCTTTGAAACAGTCCAGTGTCACCTCTTCCTTGGACTTTGATTGCTTGAGTCATTTGGGGAAACAAGCTCAACGTAGCCACAGTGGTAGCTGCAGCCTCTCCTTAGTATGACCATTTACGAAGCAAGATCGTATTTCTTGCTTTCGTGAACAGTTGCGTGCCCGGTACAGGCCATGCCTCATCCATCACTCCCCCCCCTATGAGCTCCAGTTTGCAAAGAAGCAAACTCTTGATGGCTCATGCAAAGCTTTAAACCTTCAAGACTTACACGAGGTTAGAGTTTTTTTTTTGAACTTAATGTATTGTGACTAATAAAATATACAGGGCATGGAACTTCTCCAAAGAGGTTTATCTCTCATGTCCGATGATTCCTTCTACAAGGCTGTTTGTGTGAAACAAGCCACCAGGGAAGACCTCCAACACCAGCTCATGCACACCACCTGGAGGCTTGAACATAATAGGCAGGAAAAATCTTTCCTGAAATCTCTCCAACAGGAGCAAGAAGGTGAATTCAAGATGGTGGAGACAGAAATGGAGATATTCAGGGGATTCATTACTGCCCAGGGGCTCCTGGCATTGGAGGACGACAAAGACTACCTCAAGGCAGTCTTTGCGGAGGAACTGGACCACTATGACGTTGCCAGCAAGCAATACGACCAATTCATGACCCATGCTGGAAAGCGCGCCACCCCTTTCCCAAACAGCAGCAATACCAAACCGTCAGACTCCCACAGTGATGCAGAGTCTGATGATAGCCTAATCTATTGATCAGAACAATGAGAATTTAGGGCATGCAGCCTTATCAATGAATAGGAAAAGTGTGAGACCCTACTTCAATCTACCTCATGTACTGATTTATTGATGATACATGTACAGTGCAGCCTTCGTTTTACATCGTTCAATTCAAATCTTGATCATATTATCACCCCCTACGACCTGTTATTGATCTCATCTGTACGTTTTATGTATATGATTTATACATTTGTTGTGCCCTTCGATTACATGCGAATCCAATGTGGCAAGTGATTTTATTTGTAAACAGATAGGAAGATGACTGTCCACGACTAATGCCCCCACAAAAACACTCACAACAAGCAAGACGAACATCCAACAAAAACAGGGTAAGTGTTTGAACTATATCCAAAGCACACACTGACACAATGTTTAGGAACCTCCCCAACCAAAAAGAAATTCAGATATAAATGCATCGGGTCAGGATATTGTGACCCAGCTTGGCCTCACGGAAGATTGGCCAGAGGCCCCCAAAAACCTTCACCGTTCATCAACTATGTTGATGGCTACATATGTGGGCTCTGACTACCACCCTCCCGAACTCAACTATCACCCTTCCCAGCCTGACTACCACCCTCCCCAGCTCAACTACCACCCTCCCCAGCTTGACGATCACCCTCCCCACCCTAATGATCACGTTCCCCAGCCCAACTTCTTTGATCAGCTCTTTGATCAGGAAGACGACCTCTACAATCAGCCGGAGCCTCAATACCACGATTTATTCGAATTTGGAGGCTCTGGGGTGGCGCATCATATGCGATTGGACCTCAGAGATGCCACCGCACTGCGTGCACCCAGTCCAGGGCCAGGGCAAGCACCAGCGCCAGCACCAGCACCAGCGCCAACAATAGTAGGTGTTGTGTTGCCCCATGAATGAGAGGTTCAGTGGGGCAAATTTAGTGGTGGTGTAATTCATGTATGTTTTCTTTTTCTTTTTTACAGCTAATACTAATTACTTTGGCTAGGAGCTACAGACAACGCATTCGGTTGGCCGACCACGTGCTATCAAACAACATCTCCCTCCCACACCTGCACCCAGGCCAGCACAGATAGAGATTCCATCATCTGTGGCTAATCCTCCAGCTAGTCCCTCAGCTAGTACTCCAGCTAGTCTGGTAGCACCTGTCAAACTCAAAAAGGACGAGATCAAGGTGACCAAGACTGAGGCAAAAATGCTTCTCCATCGCATGATGTTGTGAACAGAGGGCATTTCATTGACGTGCAGGCAATGAGATGCACATATTTCAAATGCATTGCAGGATGCCAGAATCAACGCAATCAGAGAAGGTGAGTACTAACGATTGTATGAAGAACATTGCTGATATATATATACATATTTAGTTCCCTACGAATCGTTCAAGACACCGAAAGTGCACAAAGAGATGGTGACGTCAATGTCACATACACAGAGACTATTCAAGACATATGCCTCACATAACATTCTAGATGCTTTGAATTTACACCTCCCGCCTGTGGAGAGGGCTGGCATAGTACAAGGGTACCTCTCCTCTGGACTCAACTTCCTGCACAAGATTGAAATAGTAAGTGTCTCGTCGTGTGACATTAAAGCGACTTATTATTACACTGACAGGTCAATGGGGTTGAAACCACACGTTTTTTGGAGGCCAAGTACTTAATGAACATGATTGTAGATGTCATATGGCAGGAAGGGCTATATCCCAACATCAACTTGGAGAATCTTGACTGCGTCTTTGGTCTTGCGGGGGCTGCGGTTCACAATGCCATCAAGGCATATCGTGAGGGTACATATGAAAACATTGATGCATCCGCTGAACAGTTTTATGATATCTATAATTCCATCATAGTGCTGATAAGACAAATCCATCTTGATGATGCACTGAGAGAACGGTATGTTTCTCTATGTAATTAATCATCGTGCGCGGTGAGGCAGATTTAGGGTTGTAGTTTATGTTTATCTGTATAGATAGGTTTACAATATATTATTTATTGTTTCTTGCCCATTTTTTGTGGTCGCAAATTGTATTGCACTGGAGCCGAGTCGCCTAAGGTGCAACAACGACTAAAAAGGCGCGTGAGCCGACACCGACTAAATATAGTTCCCAAACGGCGCCTCAAAGGCTCGTTTCTGGATTTTGGATTTGCTGATGTGGGTCGCAGGTGAATCTGCAGGGTGGAAAGTGTATAACACAGCAGAAACAGATAATGCGTACGTTCTCCTCGACCTGTTATTCAGCCGCAATCGTGACCGCGATTTGTAGTGATATCTACAAGCTTTAGATTACAGGCATCGTTGAGCGGCTCGTTCTGTGTAGCTATATTCTTAGACTGATGCACCAGTTCCCCCTTTTGACCTCTAATAACGAAAAAGATGTCACGACCCCTGCTGATGCACGAGCCATGACTCAAAGTCCGGGAGTTCGTTGTCAGGTCGAGGCTGGACTGGTTGGGCAAATGAATCTAATCACAACTATTCCAGTCTCGCCAGGGGGACTGCCGAGATGAAGAGATGCAGGACGTACCTTAGTGTTCAAAAATGGGGGGCAAGGCGTGACCGATCATGACCGGTGACCGAGACGTGATGCATTGATGAACGTAGTCACCACTCAAGGGTATCATACGGTGGCCGATGCCGAACCAAGCTACTATTGGGCACTTCCCTCCTGTATCGTTGACCATTAAAATCGGATGCAAAACTGGCATACTGTACGCCTGAAATGGTTAGAATTCAATTTGAATGTGAGGTTC